AAGGAGCAGCACTAGGAAACTTTAGGCCGATAACATGTCTGCCCATTATGTTTAAACTACTGACCAGCACCATATCTGACAGAATTCAAAATTATCTTGAAGAAAAGAATGTCTTGCTAGATGAACAGAAAGACACAAACAGAAAAGCAGGGGAACAAAAGACCAGTTATTAATTGACAAAATGATTCTGTAGAACTGCAAAAACCAAAAAACTAATCTTCACATGACGTGGATTGACTCACTCCCACACAGTTGGATCATCAAGTGCCTAGGCACCATCGGGATTTGTAAAAACGTTGGCACTTTTATTGAAAATATGATGAAGCACTGGAAAACTGAACTGTTTGTTGGAAATAAAAACTATGGACTTGTCAACATCAGGAGAGGAATTTTCCAGGGAGACTCATTGTCTCCACTGCTTTTCATCATTGCCATGATCCCTCGGTCAACAATCTTACAAAAAACAAACATTGGCTATCAAACATCTAAGAAATCTCACAAAATTTCACATCTCCTGTACATGGACGACCTGAAACTGTATGGGAAAACTGAAACTGAAATCCAGTCTCTGACTAACACTGTCTAAATCTTTAGCACCAATATCAGTATGGAGTTTGGTTTGGACAAATGTTCAAAAGTTGCACTGAAGAAGGGAAATATCATTGAAAGCGAGGGCATAAATATGCCTAATGGCCAAGCAATAAAGTGTCATCAGCCAGAGGCCTATAAATATCTGGGCATACTACAGCTGGACAACATCAAACATAAACATGTGAAAACTGTAGACAGCAAAGAATACATTAAAAGGGTCGGAAAAATTCTCAAAAGCAAACTCAATGGAGGCAATACCATTCAAGGCCATAAACACCCTAGACCATACTTGTCATAAGATATACTGCTGGCATCATAAACTGGACGCAGGCAGAACTGGACAATTTAGACAGAAAGACAAGAAAACTCATGACCATACATAATTCACTGCATCCTTGCAGTGATGTTGACTGGCTCTATCTGCCTAGAAGGTCTAGTGGCAGAGGACTCTTACAAGTCAAACAAGCAGTTGAAGAAGAAAAACATGCCCTTTCGGAATATGTAAAGGAAAGCCAAGAACCTGCTTTAATTGAAGTCAGTAATCAGAAACTTCTCAAAGCACAGCAGACAAAGAATCAGTACAAGAAAACTGCACTCCAAACCAGAGCTGAAAGCTGGCACAGCAAAGCATTGCATGACAAAATTGAAGGAAAAGTTGACAAGGAAAAGAGCTGGTTATGGCTCACCAATGGAACACTGAAGAAGGAGAGAGAAAGCCTGATTCTTCCAGCCCAGGAGCAAGCCATCAGAACAAATGCCATTAAGGCCAGGATTGAAAAATCAGCTGATGACCCAAAATGCAGACTGTGCAAGGAAGCTGACGATATCCACAGCTGTTGCAAGAAAATTGCACAGACTGACTTACAAAGGCACAACTCTGTGGCCCAAATGATTCACTGAAACTTATGTCACAAGTACCACCTACAAGGATCATAAACTTGCAAAGGCAGTGGAAAATCAACACGCAAAAATACTGTGGGACTTTCAAATCCAGACTGACAAAGTTTTGGAACACACCAGACATCATGACTGTAGAAAAGAAAAAAAGTTTGGATTGTTGATGTCGCCATACCAGGTGCCAGTCGCATTGACGAAAAACAACAGGAAAAGCTCAGCTGTTATCAAGACTTCAAAATCAAACTGCAAAGGCTTTGGCATAAACAAGTACAGGTGGTCCCAGTGGTCATCAACACACTGGGTGCCATGCCAAAAGACCTCAGCCGGCATTTGGAAACAAAATCATGATCTGTCAACTGCAAAAGGCCACCTTACTTGGATCTGTGTGCATCATTTGAAAATACATCACACAGTCCTAGACGCTTGGGAAGTGTTTGACTTGTGATTTTGTGATACAAAATCCAGCCTACTGTGACATACTGTGTTTTTGTGTCAGTAAAATAATAATAATAATAATAATAATAATAATAATAATAATAAACTTTATTTGTATTCCACCCTATCTCAATGAAGGGACTCAGGGTGGATTCCAACATAACAATGGCAAACATTCAATGTCTACATAAAACACACAATACTAACATAAAATCCCAGTAAAACATAACATCAAATTAAACCCTAACATCAATATATTAAACTACACAGACAAAATTCTATAATAACATAAATTTAAACAAAACATCCACATTAATGTACAACAGCCAGCAAAGGTTCACAAAACGGTGTGGGTTGGTTATGTAGTTTGCTATCACTTTCTAAGGCCCATTTGTTAAGTTTGTGATGTTAGCCTTTTTAGTTGTTGTTCTCAGGCTCTGGAACCCCTTAAATAGAGGTTAAATGTAGCCTGTGTTGTGTGATGGGCTGTTTCTATGTAGTAATTTAATCCGAATCAAGATGTGAATTAAAGAGAACCGGATCACTGTGGAGTTCCTACACAAGGTGCTCCATTTCCAAACTGGGATAGTAGCCACAAAGATCTGCTAATGGCGGATCAATCTGATTCAAAGAATTGTTTTTTCCCCCTTACCTCAGCTGGCAACATGCACAGACAAGAAGCCGCCTCTCAAATGGTATTCAGTGCTGGAAGGAAGTAGGGTGGAGTAAGAAAGGGAAGGTGAGCATTCCTATGTGAATGCAATGTTTTCCTCTCCAGCTGAGGTGTTCCAGAGAAGCATCATATCTGGTTTCTTTCTGCGAACGCTTCAGTGCTAGCCCTGTCCTCACAAGCATGCTATATACAGTGTTCTGCTTCAGCAGATTTTATTATTTGATCTGGAATTTCTGGTAAGATTTTAAATATTGTGTTTATGGCTGGATAAGTATTGCAACATGCATTGGGGGTGTACATTTTGTGGATACCCTGACCTTGAACCAGCTTTAAGCTGAATTTTAGTACCTATGTAGAAAGCGCATAAACTTCTTCTTCTGCGATACTGTTGAAGATTTAAGAACTCTTCTTTCTTTTTGCTTCTGGCTGGTGCAGTTGAAAAATCCTCTGGAGCAGAAAACCAGCAGTAGTGTGTTTGTGTAACCCTTTCCAGATTAACTATTTGTCTGAATGAATAGAGGGCGGGAACTGAGGACAGGGACAAGATAATGCCAATTTCCATACCCCAAAATGTTACCAGTTAGACACGCAAAGATTTGGAAATGGCTTTATAACATCTCCCACTGAATTCAAGATTTATCAGGATTCCTGGTTATTAGAGTTCTATAACAATATTTTGACAAAATAAGTTACAAAATAGTCTTTGGATCCTTGTGCTCTGAAAAGGGCTAGCTTCTTGCAACTGTATAATTTCATAAGTTCATATTGGGCTCAGTTGCAGTTGATTCAAAGCTGTGAACATTTTGATAATCATCAAGCTGTGACAGGATACACTTCATAGCCAGTTACACCTTCTAGCCAGCTGAAAAATCCAGTCTTGCATAATGGTATGATACTCTTAGCAATCAAGATAAGAATGGTTTGGAAATTAGACCTTATATATTGATTTATGTTAATAAAAAGAAAAGTGATTTGAAAGGTTAATTTTTTACTTTTTATAAAAGAAAAGTTTAGACTTGTTATGTACAGTTTAACACAGATGCCTGGTCTACTTCTATAAAAGGAAATTCTAGCATTAAAACAAGAACAAGTATAGCATGTCGTTCATCATTGTTTAGAGATTAAGTTACATTGCACAAAGTTTAGTGCACAAAAGAGATTTGTTAACAAGTCAGTGTTCAAAGAAGCTCATGTTAAATATTCTGCCCTATGGAAAAAAGCTTTTCAGTAGTTCTGTAGTTTTGAACCATTTAATAACATGTTTATTTAATGTAAGGTGAACAAGAGTATTTTTTTAAAAAAATGATGGTTTGGGAAGTTGGCAAAAGTTGCTCAGAGATAGCAGTAAAGTAAAAAAAAAAATGTGCAGTGACCCTACAAAATTTTCTTTGCTGCCCTATTAGTGGTAGTTAAGCAAACAGTGCTTTTGATGGTATTAGTATGGTTTTATCTAGCAAGAACTATGGGTCTTAGGTGCACAACAGAATAAGGAGCTGCTACCTGTGATTCACAGTCTGTAAGTTCTGGTTTGACCAAAACGCCTTCTTTAAAAGGCAATCATGACAGAAAACAACCCTTTCGGCATTCAGATTTAATAAAGTGTGCTAATTTACATTTATTGTTCTAGACCTTTTCTTCGTAAGCAGAAAAACAAAACAAACAAGCACATTAGCACAACCCGTGTGCTTATGCCCCATCCACACACAGGGTCAGGACTTCCGTAGAAGAGATGCAGGTTCCTTTGCTCTGTCTTAACTTCTCTTTTTAGTCCACCCACCTCACCCACCCCCTTGCTTTTCTCTTTCCTGATTTGGCTGCTTAGGGACAGCCAGGTAATGGAGAAGAAATTGAAAGGGAAAATATAGGGAAAATGTAAATGAAAAGAAGTTATTATAACTGTTATAATGAAGTGCCTTTCATTTAAATATAAGAATGTAACGCTGAAATGAACTTGTGATCCTGAAATGCATTTTTAATGAGTTTCCTTTTTATTTTGCTGCTTCAGTGGCATATTTTAAAGACCCTTTGAAAAAAGCCACATTAAAAACCCCACCAAATGCCACAACATGCAAAATTGGATATTGGTTTATTCCAAAACTGCTGATCAGGAAGAGTGGCTCTTCAACACAAAATGTTGCAGTCACTTTATTTAAATGAGTTTGAATTTGCATTGTGATGTGCCATTCTGATTTAGAAAAAAAATTAGATTTTCAGATCAAATTGACCCAGCCAGTGAAGCGTTAAGGAACTGGCAGGTTTAGTCTGAAAGGCTCGTGTTATATCAAACCTGCAGCTGGTGGAAGTCATAGAGCCTGTTGGAAAACAACTTTCTCACTGAATCTTCCTTCTATTATAATGTAAGAGTTTTGTTCTCACATATTTTTCCCTCTTGTTCTCCCTGTAGGTGAACGCCCCTTCCACTGTAATCAGTGTGGGGCATCCTTTACTCAAAAAGGCAACCTTCTCCGCCACATAAAGTTACACTCGGGCGAAAAGCCTTTCAAGTGCCACCTGTGTAACTATGCATGTCGTCGCAGAGATGCTCTTACAGGCCACCTGAGGACCCATTCTGGTAGGTGTCCACATTAGGAAATAGTAGAAGTGTCCAGGTCAGAAGTCAAGTGGCAAATCTGATTCAGAATAAAATCTCTTAAATTCATTTGTCCATGTTTTGATGGTCAATGACTTTCTAGTGATTTTAGAGAACTGAAATTATTATTGTTAGTGTTCACAGGTTCAAGTTGAGCTCAGTCCTCAATAGAGTGTCTCTAATTATTGAAACAAGGGAATTGTCAGACATGTAGCAGGCCACAGAATATGCCGACAGGTTGTGTTCTGTCTGGTGGATTATATGTTTTGCAGGCCTGGTTAGAGCCAGAATATTGTTAGTAAATTCAAACCCTGCTCAATATAGTTATATTCTAAGTAGCATATGGCAAAAGGAAGACATAAAAATGAGTCTGATGTAGAATGAAAATAACCAAAATATTATATTTCACCGAACCTAAAGTGCTATCAAATGTAAGGTATACGCCCATTTTTGAAGCTTTAATTTTAGGAAAAAATAGTTTTCTTAAGATTCTTAGAATAGTTTTTTTTAAATTTTCCAAGCGTGGAGGAAGAAGATGAGGAAGAGAAAGGACCTCAGACCCAACAGCTCTGCCAGCCTCCATCATTTCGTCCTCAACCTTACCCTGTCTGGCTAAGCTAAGCGCCACTTCCTGCTTGTGCTACTTCTCCAACAGGCCCATAGAGACTTACTGAAAAAGACTCATGCAAACAAGATGACTTATGAGTGTGAATTCTGAATGCAGGTGTGGTTTACTTCCATTTTATAGGCAAGAACACTTAGCTACAGTAGGATTGACTAGATTAGAATCCCACTATTTCCCCGCTCAAGCTCTATTGCAGTTTACTGCAGACATACTTCTGAAAAAGTATGTTGCTTCTCAAAATTCCAATGGTAAAAAAACCAAACACTCCAGGTAGACAACAGATCAGGAGGCTCAAGAGGAAAAGAGTTGGTAAAAAGGAGGGTTTTTTTTCCCTCAGAGGCTTTGTTAACTGTGCTATAACTGTACTTGGCTGGAGGCTATGTTACGTTTGACTGGTAGCCAGAAAGATTCCTAGAATATATTCTGCAAGAGGAGTAGTATTGATACATTTACTATTAATTAATTTACTTTTTCATCATGTAAATACATCTATATCCTATCTCACAGGTTGTTGCATCAAGCCCCTAAATTTTTTTTCAAACAAATTAGGAAACTGTTTGGATTTAAGTGTATATCAATTTTTCTTTTAATTTGTATTGAATGCAACCTTTGAACTCAATTTTGACCATACTGTTTCAGTGATTAATAATCAGATCCACACTTTCTGGAAAACAAATAGCAGCCATTAATCTGATATGTTGAAAATAGAGTGACTTAGACCCCACCTACACCAACATATAATGAAGTTTCTACACTGCATTATATGGTCAGTGTAGAAACCCATATAGTGCAGTTCAATGCAGATACACTGCATTATATGAGTTTCAAGATATGGCAGTGTAGATGGGGCCTTAGGGGTTTCCCATTCATGGAGTATTCATAAGTCAAAGTCAACTTGATGGCAGATGGAATCATAGAATCATAGAGTTGGAAGAAACCACGTGGGCCATCTACTCCAACCCCCTAGCAATAGCAAAATAGTGGGGTTGCATTTCTTCATGACACATGCATTAAGAATGAAAATATGAGTGTCCATTGCCAGTTTCAGAAAAAAACCAATAGATTCTAGGGGTACATCTTCTTCATTTAGGCAGCTTCTTTACAGACACATAATACAGCTCAGAACTTGCATGAAAAATGACAGTTCCAACCCACATACCAAGGTGGCCTGACAGCCCAGCCACCACTGGGCATGGACCTAATTTCCACCCTTCTTGCCACCGCTTTTTTGCCCACAAGAAAGAATAAAATGCACATACCTCATTTTCTGCAGTTCCTCTTCCTGGTTCCATGCCATGTGATTAGCAAAGGAGCCTTTCATTCCTTCCAAGCTTGTTTGCCAGTCACATAGCACTGAATAAAAAAGAAGAGCTGCAGAAAATTATCCATGCATCATTATTCCTTCTTGTAGATAAAAAAGGAGATGGAAAAGGGCAGGAAGGGACAGACACCCCATGTCTCCAGGTCACTTGAGCTTGGGGATATTTTTTTAACCCAGGGTGTAGCCACATTAAGCAGCTTTGCCTGAGTTCAATCAGATCAACTTACATGCATTTTATAGATGCCTGTAGGCTGATTCAACCCCAAGGGCAGACATCGACCCTTGTGCTTTTGCTACTCTGCTGCTGAATACACATGCCCAGTATGGAATACATTTACACCATATTAAAACTGTGGATGTGGCTGCACAGTTTTAACTGTGGATGTGGCATGCCACATTATCACAAGATGTCTTTTCCCAACACCTCTGGAGAAATTATACTGTATTTCACCACCTTATATCCCCCGGGAAGTAGCAGCCAGCAATGAAAGGACCAAGGCATCGACATCTCCGACCCATCTTCTGTTTGGATATCAGTCAATACGCCAATGACTTAAATCAAGGAAGAGCTTCCTAAGATCTACAGAGCTACTCACAGGAACACCTGAGCAAGTGAGAGTCCAAAAGTGGCTGGCTAAAACCCGGAACCTCAATCAGTGGCTGATACCAGATGAGAAACCACCTCCTGGGCCTACAGAAGACTGGGCAACTTGGAAGGCACTGAACAGAGTATGCTCTGGTACCATGAGATGCAGAGCCAATCTTAAGAAATGGAGCTACAAAGTGGAGTCCACGACATGCGGGTGTGGAGAAGAGCAAACCACAAACCACTTACTACAATTCAGTCTGAGCCCTGCCACATGCACAATGGAGGACCTTCTTAACAGTGACACCAGAGGGACTTGAAGTTGCCAGGTTCTGGTCAAAGGATATTGAGTATAATGCCAAGTTTTTAACTTGGTTTATGGTTTTTTTTATACATTATAACTGTATTCTCAATTTGCATCTGTCACAATAAATAAATACCCCACGCCAACCTAAGTGATCAGTGTAGATAAGCCCTCAGTCATTTGATTCAGACATATTGAAAATTATATCACCCAATATTCTGTTTAGCTTGTGTAGTAATTTCAGTTTCCACTCCCTGCAGTTGGAAAGCCCCACAAATGCGGATATTGTGGCCGGAGCTATAAGCAGCGCAGCTCTTTGGAAGAACATAAGGAACGCTGCCACAACTATTTGCAAACCATGAACCTCTCAGGCAACCTTTATCCAGGTAAGAGTGCAAAGAGAAAAGCAACATTAAATGCTTACTTTAATTTTGATGTGAGATGTCATTACAAACATGGCTCGCTGAACTCCATGGGCAACTCAGGCAGTCATGTGAGACACCAATATTTTGAGGGTTGCCAGTGTGATGCATGCTGCCAGCATATCTTACAATGCTACAAAGGATGACGAATCAGATCATCATTATATTGAGGCAGGATACCAGGAGCTATTGCCCAAATACCTGAGGAAACGTGGACTTCAAATATAATATTTTACCATCTTTCCCCACTTTTTCAATTAATAATGGAGCTGGAATAGGTTCTGCTGGCTAAGTGAAGTCCCGTAGCTCCAAAAGGGGTGGGCACACAGCTGTGTGATTCGCCCACATACGTGCCCCCTTTCTTTTACAAAAGGGTGGGTGCATGGGCAGCCAAAGCTTCATTCATCCGTGCCCCCACCCTGCCCCCTTTCCAGCTACAGGGCTTCACTCAGCTACCATCTGGATATTTTTCACCTTATAATAGTTGCAGCCCTCTTTTTGCCATAGAAAGGGATAAAAGTGTGACTATTATGCAATGAAATGTGGTATATCATGCAAAAGATGGTCCAAACTTCTCATCCAGGGACTAGAATACATATCAATGGATTCCAGTTATAAATGAATCCGCCCATACAATTAAAAAGACCTTTCCAAAAATGAGAGTTCTTCAGCTGAGGAACAAATTGCCTTGGAAGGTGGTTGCTGTTCTTTCTTTGGCAGTCTTTAAACACAGGCTTAGTTAAGTTGTAGTTTTTCCCCCAACTCTATGATTCTTTGATGAAATACCTCAAAATCATCCTGAGAGGCTTCATCCAATATACAGGAATTGCTTGTAGGTGTTGTATTCTATCCCTTTCCAAAACAGAAAGTGCATAGATGTGACTACAAAAGCCATCTCCCATTTGCTAATATTAGAGAATAGAAAGAAACTTGGTAATTGCCTGAGAAAAGGTGGGTGGGGGTCAGCATTCCTCTACAATTTCACTCCCATTGTTTCCCTCCATCTATGAGGCATATCATTTCTCGTTTTCAGCAGAAAAGACATGTGCTGTGATCTAAAGTTTCATGTAGCTTTAAAACAGATGCTGAACATTGCACATACAAGAATCACCCACTGAAGTCAGTTTTGGAAAATACTTTGCAAATGCAACTGTCCAACAAAGTGGCAAGAAATCAGGCCGGCTTCTTATTGTACAGACTTTAAAAGGAGTACAAGATGAGAGTCATTCTCTCTCTCTCTCTCTCTCTCTCTCTCACACACACACACACACACACACACACACACATATACATTGCAGCTGGCTGAGTGTCAGCTGCATTAAGATCACTTCTGACCAAAAGGTCATGAGTTCGAAGCCAGCCCGGGTCGGAGTGAGTGTCTGACCAATTGTGTAGCTTGTTGTCGACCTTTGCAACCCGAAAGACAGTTGCATCTGTCAAGTAGGAAAATTAGGTACCACCTATGTGTGGGGAGGTTAATTTAACTAATTTACGAGGCCATAAAAAAGACTCCAGCAAAGCACTCCAGCAAAAGCGGGGAATGCGGAAGTACTTCATCAGTGTCGCAGATGGATGATGAAAGCAACAGCTCCCCTGTGGCCAGAAAAGGTTAAATAGCCTCTGACTGGTTTGTCTATATCTGTTGTGTGTCTTTGGCTTTGAATGTTTGCCATGTATGCGTAATCCGCCCTGAGTCCCCTGCGGGGTGACAAGGGCGGAATATAAATACTGTAAATAAATAAATAAATAAATAAATACACCTGCATGTGGATCTATCCACTCAAGATAGCAATGCACTTTAAGCTTTCTGGATATTTTAATCTACATTTCACATGTAAAATTAGCAAATGAGGGAGAAGACTACACTGTATGATGTTGTTCCTGATATATTTGGTGTCCAAAATTTATATGTCTCTCTCTGTGTTAAGAAGTGTGAAGAATTTAACAACAGAAAGCATTTTCAAGTGCTGTCACAGTTGTTCTAAACATACAGTTTGGCCGTTTAAGAACACAGTATTTAAAATTGTCACCAGACGTTTTACAGCATCTAACTTCTTTTCCAGCAGACAAGCAAATTGTGTGCATGCCTGCCTCTAAAAGGCGTCTATGTTACTTTCAATTCAGAATGAGGTTGTGAGATGAAATTTAAGGTTATAATTTGTGCAATAAGGTAATTGCCATCATACCTTTTCAATCGTGTCAGTGCATATTATACACCCTTGTGAAATGAGAAAAAAGAGCCATTCCATATGTATAAAAATGCTTCATTTAATACTATCTCTCTGTATGGTGTTTGGGTTATCAGATAACATAAAGTATCGAATATGCAAGCAATGATTACACAGAAAAGCTGCCAGAAGACTTGAGAAACAAGTTTGGTCAAGACATGGTGCCCCTTTCACTGACCAGATGGAAATGTATACATGTGTAAGAAAGATCAGCTCAAATTAAATGGCCTCAGTGTTATTTCAGTTCCAAATTATGGCAATCAAATTATGGCCATTGTTTTTTGGTGGAGGAGGCTAGGGGCACAATGATCTTAAATCTTCCCACCCACATGCTTGCTCAGAAGCAAACCCCTCTGCATGCAATGCTGTCTGCTACATTTAGAGCTTCATCTATACATCCAATAGTATTGAATGAACTAGCAGAGGTAATTTCAGAACCACTGGCAATCATCTTTAAGAACTCTTAGAGAACAGAAGAAGTCCCAGTAGACTGGAGGAGGCCAAATGTTGTTCCTATCTTCAAGATGGGGGGAAAAGAGGACACAAAAACATTACCATCCTGACATCAATACCAGGAAAGATTGTGGAGCAGATCATTAAGGAGGTAGTCTGCAATCACTTAGAAAAGAATGCTGTGATTACCAAAATTCAACATGGATTTCTCAAAACCAAGTCATGCCAGATTAACCTTATCTCTTTTTTGATAGAGTTACAAGCATGGTAGACACAGGGAATGCTGTGGATGTAGCATATCTTGATTTCAGTAAGGCCTTCGACAAGGTCCCCCATGACCTTGCAAACAAACTAGTCAAATGTGGGCTACACAATGCTACTGTTAGGTGGATCTGTAACTGGTTAGGTGACCAATCCCAAAGAGTGCTCCCCGATCCTGGAAACAAGTCACTAGTGGAGTGATGTGGGGTTTGGTCCTGGGCCTAGTACTGTTCAACATCTTTATTAATGACTTAGATGTATGTTTACATGGCATACTTAACAAGTTTGCAGGTGACACCAAAGTGGGAGGGATAACAAATCCTCCAGAGGACAGGATCAGGATTCAAAACCACCTTCACATATTACATATCTGGGCCAAAACTAACAAAATTAATTTCAACAAGGACAAATGTAAGATACTACACTTGAGCAGAAAAAAAAATGAAATACAAAGATAGCCGACTTGTCTTCATGGACAACAAGTTGAACATGATCCAACAGTATGATGCAGCAGCTTAAAAGGCCAATGGGATTTTGTGCTGCATCAAAAAGAGTATAGTGGCTACATCGAGGAAAGTCATGGTGCCTCTGCATTCTTCTTTGATTAGATATCACCTGGAATACTGGGTAGCACAGTTTAAAAGAGATATAGACATGCTGGAGGGTGACCAGATGAGGGCAACTAAAAGGATCAAAGGTCTGTAGACCATGCCCTATGAAGAGCATTTTGGAGAGCTGGGTATGTTTAGCCTACAGAAGGAAAGGTTGAGAGGAGACATAATAGCCATGAATGGGCAACTTGGAAGTCCCTAAACAGACTGAGTGGAGTGGGCAGATCAAAAGACAACCTGGCAAAATGACACTCCCTAGAAGAATCCTCCACCTTGCCTGACTGTGGAGCAGAACAAACAGCTCCACATATGTATGCTTGTCCACAATGTCCTGCCTCATGCACAGAGGAAGAATTGCTTAAAGCTACAGACAATGTGTTGCCTGTTTTTGGTCAAAAAATGTTTAACCACTTGTGTTGCCTGTTTTTGGTCAAAAATATTTAACCACTTGTATTCCCTCTATTTGTATCAGTTTTATACATATTTGAGCAATGCTTTTGACTTGAAATAAATAAATACATAACCATTTTTATTTGAAACTCTCAATATTTTATTTGAAATTCTCAGCATTTTTGCATAAACACCTGATGAAAGCATGCTTCACTAGTATAATAATGTTCATGAGCAAAAATAGGTCTCTCTTCAGAAAGGAGGCAAACTGGAGGCAGCCCTGACTTACAAATAAATATATATACTAGCCACTACTTATAAGGATGCTGGGATGGGCATTGATTTACCACCATGTGAACCGGCCTGAGTCCCTCTGCGGAGGTGAGAAAACTGATATATAAAAGTTCTAAATAAATAAATAAATTCTTCATCTGAAGTCAGGGATATGTACAAAAAAATTGAAAAAAGAACAGTTGTGGAATTTATATTTATACTAGGAGGATTCAGCCGTACTGTATTCCTTATTCCCATTTACGATCATTATATTGCAAAACTGAACAGGGAGATATACCATAAGTGGTTTTCATGGTATTGGTCACAGATGTGTAGCATTATGTGCATGCCATTACCTAATCGTGGTAAACAAAGAAGCTATGCCCTTTGCAAAAACATTATCTCTGTGGAAATAATTTGAAGAAAAATGATACTACAATGTGAAGAAGGAGGGGGCGAAGGAGGAGAAAATGTATTTGTTATCCATCTCTCTAGGCAGGGTAAAGCATAGTTAAAACACACATAAAACACAATGCAATTGAAATACATAGGACAAAAATTAAAACACCAATATAAATGAAATGTACAATTAAAATTCATTGTTTAAAATGGACTCATTAGACCTGTAAGAAAAGATATTCTGGCCAGGACTCACAATAGTTTTTATGGTGAAAAGTTTAGACTGCATTATGTCTTTTGCGGGGCTAATGCTGGATGCCCCAATCTGTTTCTCTTTTGTACCTTGCCTGTCTATAGACTGTATCTCTGTAAAGTGGGGGAACATGTATCTCTAAGACTTTGGGTCTCCTTTAACTTTTTTCAGTCATGAAAGAGGAAACTAACCAGAATGAAATGGCGGAAGACCTGTGCAAGTTGGGTTCAGAGCGATCCCTTATACTGGACAGACTAGCAAGTAATGTCACCAAACGTAAGAGTTCTATGCCTCAGAAATTTGTTGGTAAGAGTTAAATGTTTGCTGCCTCTTTATGTGCTTGGATTTTTCAATTTCAATTTTCTTCATTGACAGCAAAGGCAGAGTAATTAACCAAGAATTTTGGGTTCTACGGTGCTCTAGCTCCTTTCAGTTCAGAAAGATGATTTTGTATTACTTTCAGTGTAAGAATTTTTTTGTCAGGTGCTTTTTATCTCAGCATAATTACGTACACAAAACAAGTATATCTAGGGAGCAATTAGTCCTCCTTCGCCACCCATAGAACACATGTTTTCCTACTGCCACCCTTTTATTCAAAGCATTCATGGCGGCTGGTTACAAGTGACTCCCTGGTGGTTTTCAATTTAGCAGGTGTCAACACTGCTGTAGCAGAGCTCCTAAATCATTTAGTGGATTATCTAGTACTCCTCTACCAGATTATGTTTCCCTTTTTCTTTCCATTTCCCTAAAGGGAACCCTTATTGTTTCTTCTCCTTAGCTTCACAGTATCATAATTGGTGCTTTTAAAAAACCCTTTTAAGTGTTGAAAAGACTGGTCCTTGCAGCCAGAATATATAAAGCATATTATTGACTTTGTATGTATTTATGTAACATTACTTGGGAGTAGATTTAACAGTGGTGACTCCTAAATACTTGGTATTGCACCAGATTTGAATGGTATGGAAGAGGGTTGCTGTTATTTGTATGGAGTCCATCTCATCCTTTTAAGTTTCTGTCCATCTGAGTGCAAATCTTATGATTCTGTATCTATTGTTGAGTGTTTGAGACATCAGAGAATCTGCTCTCCACTTCACTGCCAAGAAGTCTCCATGTATGAAATTATGGATATGGTCTTGGACTTGAGAAGATTATCTCTGAGGACTTTAACCTTCATGTCTATGTCTGCATGACTCAGAATTGTGTTTATGGAGTTGTCCCAATATTTCACTTATTCAACACATGTATTTAACTTGCGTTGACATAGTTGTCTCCTTTGTTAGGATCACTATCTGTTAAGGTTTGGACTTCTATCAGTTTTTGCCTATATTGAAGAAGAGTCTGAGGATAATGGGTTCTAATTATTTCCAGAAGACTCCCCACTTGCTAGAGCTGTTTAAGACCTGGTCCCTCTATAGCAGACATGGCCAGACTTCAGCCCTCCAGGTGTTTTGGACTTCAACTCCCACAATTTCTAACAGCTGGTAAACTGGCTGGGATTTCTGGGAGTTGAAGTCCAAAACACCTGGAGGGCCAAAGTTTGCCCATTCCTGCTCTATAGAGTGAGTGAACTGAGTTGAACTGTGGAAGTGACACAATTATTCTCAAGCATCCCCCTCCCTTATCCTTTGAAATGCCCCAGAGCTGAGGCAATGAAGTAAATGGGATGGCAGCTGGAACACGAGGAGAGAAGACATGCTCAATTTGAACATGTTAGAATGTATTACTGAGCATTGAAGTATCATAGAATCATAGAATCAAAGAGTTGGAAGAGAACTCATGGCCTATCCAGTCCAACCCCCTGCCAAGAAGCAGGAATATTGCATTCAAATCACCCCTGACAGATGGCCATCCAGCCTCTTTTTAAACGCTTCCAAAGAAGGAGCCTCCACCACACTCCGGGGCAGAGAGTTCCACTGCTGAACAGTTCTCACAGTCATGTTCAGTTGGAATCTCCTCTCTTGTAGTTTGAAGCCATTGTTCTGCATCCTAGTCTCCAAGGAAGCAGAAAACAAGCTTGCTCCTTCCTCCCTTTGGCTTCCTCTCACATATTTATACTTGGCTATCATATCTCCTCTCAGCCGTCTCTTCTTCGGGCTAAACATGGCCAGCTCCTTAAGCCGCTCCTCATAGGGCTTAATCTCCAGACCCTTGATCATTTTCGTCACCCTCCTCTGGACACATTTCAGCTTGTCAATATCTCTCTTGAATTGTGGTGCCCAGAATTGGACACAATATTCCAGGTGTGGTCTAACCAAAGCGGAATAGAGGGGTAGCATTACTTCCCTAGATCTAGACACTATGCTCCTATTGATGCAGGGCACAATCCCATTGGTTTTTTTTGCCGCCACACCACATTGTTGGCTCATGTTTAGTTGTGTTCTTTTTCACCTCTGTTATGCATTACCAGTGGTGTCCAGCAGACCTGTTTTAAGTAGTAAAGAATTTATAATGGTCTGACCCTGAAAGGGAAATCGGCATATTTTCAGTGACTGGTTGTTATAATTTTGACTGATGTAGATTAACCCCATCTGTTATGACTAGGATTCCACAGTTACTGACATTCTATTTATAAAGTTATCCAGAGTATAATCTTAGCAGATGCACAATAAGAGGCAAGCTTCAGTTGCTGAGGCTAAGGATACAAATGAAGTGTTTGGATTATTTTGGACAACACTTACATACTCAACACTTGTGTCTTAGATGGTAGCGTCAAATAAGTCCCATAGCTGGTTTCCAAAGGCTGTGCATTTCTCTTTAAGAGGTAGAGAAACATTTTTTAAGGTTAAGGATGCACACTATTCTGGGAATGTGAGCCGACTCATTTCCTTAGTATTATGGTTTTTTAAAAATCCTGTCAGATAGAAGGACTAGAAAAGGTGTGTTTCCTGTCTGTTATTCAGACTGAGAGTAAGAGGGCATCATTAGGAAAATAGTTAAGACTACAGTTTGTAGGGAGGGGGAGGATAGCATATCTAGATGGAATTGAAGCGGCCCACATTTCTTTTCCCAGCCACCGCAACTCTGTTTCTCCACAAAACAAAATCTATTTGCTCTTTAGGTGATTTTGGCTCTGACAGTTATATTTTAGACAATCTCAAGATATTGTTATAGTTTAGTATAGTCAGTACTTAAATTCTAGAAAAAAAATGCCACCCCCATCCTACAAATATCTGATGTGTGGTAGTTTTATGTAGTTACTCAGAAGTAAGCAAATTTGTCCTGCATTGCTGACCAAATTAGGAATGAGATGATATAGCTCTTTTTAAATTGTCATTGCACTGTCTTTTTTGTATAATTGCACTTAACTGTTTTTGCTTTTGTATTGTATTGATGGCATCGAATTGTGCCGATATGTAGACCGCCCTGAGTCGCCTGCGGGCTGATATGGGCGGGATATAAGTGATGTAAATAAATAAATAAATAAATAAATAAATAGGTGAAAAGGTGAGAAATTAATGACTGAATGTGCTACTTTTTAAAATCTTGGCTCCCTCTTTCATCACTTTCTGCTAAGATAGAGGAATGATATCAGATTAAGGTCAGAAACATTGGGATCCTTTTATTTTTCTGCACCCAGTTTTTCCATTCAGTGGACTTGTCGTCAAAGTTCACATATTTCCAAAGTTAACGATCCTATTCACAAATAAAAATTTGAATATTTTGAAACATTTGCATAAAATATATGCACATTATTTAATCCATCTGGAAGATTGCTTGAATGGGAATATATTTTTAATGTTTTTTTTAAATGTATGCAGCTATTTTATTCAGATTACTCCCTCCATCATTGCCTCCCACAATCTGTAGAATCGGGATGAAATGATGAAAACCCAAGTGAAGTCAAGCTTGAAAGAATCACAAGACCATAATTATGAAACTCATTCTAAAATACAACTCTGGTAACCTTACAACAGCTCTCAGTTATACAATGAGAGAGATACATACACACAATGTGCACTTATAATATATTCAACTATCTAAGGAAAATGCCGAGGAACCTTTATTGTATATCTGGATGTTGTTGGTTTTGGAAAAAACAAAACAAACTGTAATTTTTCCTTTATCGGTTCCTTCTTCGCCCTAAAAATCTGCTTTGGAGGGCTGCAGCAACAAGAAGAGAGGAAGAACATTTCAATTCTTCCACTTATAGAGGCAGAAGTATCCCTTTGCATCTTGGACAATATGACATGCTACTGAAAATCCAAATGCTAGTCACAATTAGAGGAGAGTGATTGCATCATTGAAGTGTATGTTGGAATGGATTTAAGAGGTTTCCATGGATTCCGTGGATTCTAGTTGGGATTAAGAATTGGCTTCAGCCTGTGATTTGGAAATGAATTTTAAAATATTGCCTTAAAAAAAAGAAATTATATAAATATTGAAATTGCTAGGCAGGCAGTAGCGTTCATTAGGTGTATCATCTAGCCCAGAGATCCTCAAACTAAGGCCCAGGGGCCGGATATGGCCCTCCAAGGTCATTTACCTGGCCCTCGCTCAGGGTCAACATAAGTCTGAAACGACTTGAAAGCACCCAACAACAACAACAACAATCTTATCCCATCCGCCAAAAGCAAGCCCACACTTCCCAATGAAATACTAATAAGTTCATATTTGTTAAAATTGTTCTTCATTTTAATTATTGTATTTTTAAGTGGGGTTTTTTTGCACTACAAATAAGATATGTGCAGTATGCATAGGAATTCATTCATTTTTTTTTCAAATTATAATCCGGCCCTCCAACAGTTTGAGGAATTGTGACCTGGCCGTCTGTTTAAAAAGTTTGAGGACCCCTGATCTAGCCTTTCATTTCAAATACCAATTTAAAGGACTGGATAATCTCAACTAGTATCCAGAATATTTGATACAGGAGACTCCAAGGAGGTTCTGATTTTGCAATGAGAATTTTGATTTAATTGCAACTTGTGTTATCAAAACTGCAGCTTAACAAAATTCCATGCCAATTCTTCTATGAATGGAGGAGTGTTTAAGTTATTTTTTACAATGATCTTCAAACAATGATTTTGCAAACATAATAAAACTAGATGAATATATAATGCTAACTACATTTTATCTTGTGTTATTTCCAAGTTGTGATTACTTAATACAGATTTAATGCATTGATCTCATCCTAATTTTTCTCTGTTTTGACCTATAGGTGAGAAATGCATATCAGATGTTCCTTATGATGCAACCCCCATTTATGAGAAGGAGAATGATATGATGCAGACCCATGTCATAGACCAAGCTATTAACAACGCCATCAGCTACTTAGGGGCCGAATCATTACGTCCTCTGGTGCAGACTCCACCAAGTGGCTCTGAAGTCATGCCTGTCATCAATTCCTTATATCAGCTTCACAAGCCAACTGGAGACAACCATGCTCGATCCAATCATGCAGCTCAGGACAGTGCAGTGGAAAATTTGTTACTTCTTTCTAAAGCCAAATCCATTTCTTCCGAAAGGGACCCTTCGCCCAGCAACAGCTGCCAAGAGTCCACCGATACAGAGAGCAATAACGAGGAACGCAGTGGCTTAATTTACTTAACAAATCACATAGCACCCCATGCACACAACGGCCTCGCTATAAAGGAAGAACACAGGCAGTATGATGCCCTGAGGGCAAGCAGTGACAGCCCCCATGATGCTTTCAAAGTAATTAATGGCAATGGAGAGCAAGTGAAAGTTTACAGATGTGAACATTGTAGAGTCCTGTTCTTAGATCATGTAATGTATACCATCCACATGGGGTGCCATGGTTTTCGTGATCCTTTTGAGTGTAACATGTGTGGCTACCGCAGCCAGGACAGGTATGAATTCTCTTCTCACATAACTCGAGGAGAACACCGCTTTCATATGAATTAAAACTCTTCCTGTACAGAGGTCACTTTTGTGCCATGAACTAAAATGCAAAAGAGCCAAAAGACTACAAGACAGTGTTCCGATAAAAAATTAATGCCAGAAGACTTGATTCTCCAGAAATGAATTCTTGTAGCATGCACGCATACATCAATTTTATACTATTAACATTGATGTTTTTTGTTGTAATTATAGATTATCTAAGAAAAATACACTTTTTCCCCCATACCATTTTTTCACTTCTTGTAACAGTTTAGTACACTCACTAGCTGATGGCAGTAATCCACATTTAGAATAGTATAAAAAAACTTAGCCAACGTGATATAGTAATTTAAGTGTTAAACTATGGGAAATCAGAGTTTGAATGCCTATTTTATCGTGGAAGGCCACTGGGTGTCCTTGGGCAAGTCACTCTCTGTTTGTGTGGCAAGACCGCCTGAGAAGGCAGTAACCCCCTCTGAACAAGAAAAATTCATAATGCGTATGTTTTTATAATTGTTATAAATCAGAATGACTTGAAAATACACAACAGTAAACATCACTTAACCTTTTCTCACCTCTGTTGGATGTCTAGATTTGTTTTATACAAGGTTAAATGACATGACTACTGCCATCATAATTTACCATTGGCCCTCTGTATCCACGGATTCAACCATCCATGGCTTGAATTTTTTTAAAAAACATTCAAAAGTCAAACCTTGATTTTATTATTCTATATAAGGGACGACATTTTACAATGTCACTGGACGTCATAGAGAATCTGCTGGTTTAACTCTCCACTTCATCATGGGACTTGAATATCCATGGATTTTGGTATCCAGGAGCCGTGGAACTGAATCCCAGCAGGTACCAAAGACCCATATGTGTATCTACTTCAGAACAGAGTGGTCAGAGATCAACACAGCAACAAGCCAGTATTTGTAACAAAGAATCCTGAACCGGAAATAATGGGCAAAACTGGTCATGTACACTGTATCAAGCACTTTCTTGTCACATTGATGTGGATGCACATACAAAAAGATTTGTTAGTATGATCTGTTCCATTTCAGTAGAGGAAGATCCACATCGAGATTCCCTTGAGTTTGGTTCACTTTATCATCCAGACATCCAGTTCAACATAGTGCTACTATCTTTTTCCAGGTTTATGTAAATGTCTACAAGACAGTCATATGAACGTCTCCGGTTATATGTTTCATACCTATACATTATTTGGATGTGTTTGTTTTTAAAAAATATCTGGACATTTTCTAGATGCATGGTTTTCATAAACGACTTTGGTAAACACATCTGGACTAAGTACACTTTGAGAAAAATGAACTGGATAGATTTCTGAACATTCCATGTTTGTTACCACAGTATTCTTCACATCTGTAAACAGCAATAGATAAATACTTTTCGTAACTCATGCTCCATCCCAACTTTGGCATTGTTTTTTTTATAGCTGTACCTAACCATTTTTGTGGGTTTATATTGTAATCCTAGTTAGCTTTTCAGGCTAGTATATTTCAAACTATGAAGCAAATTTCCTACAAAATTAGATTATTAGTAAAATTTTGTACAAAGCCAAAGAGGAGACCTTTAAAGATGATACTTCAAAGAAGATACTTTGAATATTTCTTAGAAATAGAAAGTTAAGCATGTTAGAACTGTTTGTGGATTCTGGTTGACTGCTTGTGATAAATATACATATGTAAGAGATAAGAAAAACAAGAGACCACGCATCAGGGACACAAAAATCTTTCCAATCAGAACTCGACAATTAAGTTCTTCTCACCCTTCGTTCAGGTAGTCCCTGTGTTATGAACAAGATAGA